CTTTCTTTCTTTCTTTCTTTCTTTCTTTCTTTCTTTCTTTCTGTGTGTGTATTTAACCCCAGATATCTCTAACCCCTGTATGTGTCTACTAATGTTTTATTGTAGGATTGTATCCTACCTAGGCATAAAGGAAATAGGAAAAATGAGTATCTGTTGACAGGTGATGCTGCCTCTAGGGTAGAACGAAGAGTGAGCGATGGCTATGCTGGTAACCAACAGTGTTGGCTATAGGTAGAATCTTGGAACTGAAAAGATTCACAGCCACTGTTTCTTCTCTGGTCTGACTCACAAGGGAAGTGGTACTGATGAGGCTCGATGATCTGTCGACATCATTTGGGGTGAGGCCCGAACTCTGTGTCTCATTTTCTGATCCATGCTCTGAATGGCAGCAGAGCATGACAAAGACTTGGCGTGCATCTTCCAGCTGCCATGGCCAGGGCTTTGTCTGGCATTTATTAGCTCTCCCAGTGCTTGCCTTCCACGCTGGGGAGCCTGCTGGCTTCTCAGAGCAGAGAGTGCATATGCCGGGCCTTCCCAATTCTGCTTGAAAAGTAGCCAATCATTTCTTTCTAATTAAGAATCAAACACCATTTCAGATGGTCCCCTTCCGAAGATGTCATGGGAGATGTTCCTCATACCTGTCATGGGTGCTGATCATGTTGTCAGTTTTGGCAACTCCTTCCTGGGATGAATAATAAAATTATCATAATCTTGCACCAGAGGGAGGGTGAGCAATTTGTAGACTCCATTAAGAATTGAGCAAGGGATTGTCCCCTAATGAGATGGACGCGTCAGGAAGCCTGTTCATCATGCTGGTCTGTCACCAATACACAAAGGGGCCCTGAAGGGAGGGCCTCCCACCAGTCTGGCAGACAGGCGTGGTTGTCTTGGATGCATATTTGCATATTGTCATTGATCATCTACTGGTGAGCAGGTGACAGGCAGAAGAGCAGAACTGGGGCAAGGTGCGTGCGTGCGTGTGTGTGTGTGTGTGTGTGTGTGTGTGTGTATGTCTGTATGTGCGCGCATGTGCTACCCTTGATTCATCCTCCACAGGCCGAGCAGCATTGCTCTCCACTTCCTCACGCGGCAGAAAGAGAAATGGAATCAATGGGCATATCATCTTCTTGGTGGAGAGTGACGGCTCCCTCATTGCGAAACACCAGCACATTGATGGAAGAGATGGTCCAACTTCAAAGGGATAAATGCTTCCTGCGATGACTCCTTGAAACGGCTTACAGTTCAGGAGCCCACTTTTGAATTGGAACTTTATTACCAGCCGCTTGACATGCCGCCACAGCCATCATAGTAGTGGCATATACACTGTAAAGGCTGGCTTACCGCGCATGCCCACGCTCATCTCTCCTCATCTGTCATGAACATTTCAAGCTTTGGAAAGGCTGAGCTGTTGCCGTCTTGAGGATGAGCTCTTCTTCTCTTAGGAAAGCCCTTTCCATCTCAGTCTGAAACTTGTAATCGTACTTGCGCTTTTTGGGAAAACCAGGGAGATGCTACCCTTCTCTCCATGGTGACAACAGTGTGCATCCCAGAATTCTGCCTGTTTTGAAACAATGGCTCCTTCTACTTTAGAATGGCCAGAAAGACACCAGTGTCCCTTAACTTCTTGGAAATTTGCTATATTTTAAGGTTTATTATAGTAATGATTTGCATACATATACTTGCACACGTGCCTGCAGAGACCAGGAAAGGGTGTTGGATCCCCTGGAACTGGAGTTACAGGGGTTGTGAGCCACCAGACATTGGTTCTAGCGATTGAACTGGGAACCTCTGGAAGAACAGTGTGCACTCTTAACCTCTGAGCCATCTCTCCAGCCTTCGCTATTATATTTTAAAGAATTAATTTCTTTCAGTGGGAAGTGTGATATGCTTTGCTCTCGGCGTCCTTTGTAGGGCAGGATATTGAGCCTCTGGTCTGTTGCATCAGGAGGGAATTGTGCCAGCCATGACTTTTTTTCTGAGTCATCAAGGTCTTCACTGATGTGGCCCCTGAGGGTCATCTTGGGAGTGCCCTTCGGTGTTTGTATTAATGCGGATGCTCTCATCGAGTGAGCGCTTCTGTAAGAGGGAGTGAATCTTTTGTTGGGCACCAGTGGCCTGCGAGTACTTCATAAGAATCAATCAATAGCTTTTGCTGATATTGGAATGTGGGCCCAGTAACTTCCTGGATCACTCCGCAGGGAAAGATGTGTTTATAGCCTGTGTTATTTATAGAAGATTCTAGGGGCTATTTTCTAGACCATCTTTGTTTGAATTTATGCTGGGAGTGACACTGACCCATCCAAGGTGGTGGCTGGGGGTTTGGAGGGTCCCCTGCCCTTGGACTTGAGTTGCTAATTGTTCAGTTTCTCTCATTTCACTGCTGGGGAGGAGCAGACTGGAGGTTTTCCTGAGCCTACCAGCCCTCTCTATTGCCTTGAGCCCATGCCCTGCTTCCTCTACATATTTCCAAAAACTTACAGGATGCTGCTGTCTTCCTGGTCATTTTACACTTGAAGGAACCTTTCTTTCAAATGAGGCAGAATTCTGGGAAGCACAACTCTTGTCAGCACTGAAATGAGAACAGAGTCATTTCACCATAAAGAGAAAGGCTCACTGGCTTGGGGCAAGGGAGGGCACAGCGGACATGTGACTCTGTGCACCAGGTATCACTTTCTTTGCCATATCTCCGTTTCTCACAATACATGAGCCCTCCTGTGGTTTTTTTCTTTTCATGGCTTTGGACCCCCTTATTCTATCCCTTCCTCTACTCCTCCTGCATTCATATTTGTGCAGAAATGGTGGCGTGTCTGCTGGGTCCTAGGTGCAGGGGAGATGCTGGGGCAGACACTAGTACTGACCCGATAGAATTAACATATTAAAAATAGCAATCTTTCAGTCTCCACACAGCAGGAAGGGGACCAAGCTAACACACTGCACTTTTACTGGCCGTGAGCACAGCGAGAGGTCTTTCCAGATTCTTTAACAAACATGACTCTCTGCCCTCTCCCTTCTGCGTCCCTTACCTTTCAGGTCACCCAGGAAACCCTCAACTCCTCTTCTTCGTTATTTATTCATTGGCGAGCTTTCTGGTTTGACCACATCATCTAGATATGACTCTGGTTTGGGGCCCTTGATTTTACCTATCCAAAGAGGCCATCAGAGTCCTCTCCTTGAGGAATTATAGTCACCCCTCCCCTTAGAGCAATGTGACTCCTATCTGCTGGGAAAATATGGTTTTATTTAAAGTGCAATTATTTCCTTAAAACACTGCCTCCCCCCCCCCCCGGCTCCCAATATATGGGCCAGCGTGAGCGTGGCAGCTGTTTTGCACTGGCCTCTGAGAGAGTATCGACTAGCAAGTTGTCATGTGGTGATGTCGCATCTTCTTTACACAGCTCATGCCACACCATTTTGTTCCTTTATTTGCTTGTTTGTCGGAGACAGGGTCTCACTCTGAAGCTGAAGGCAGGCTGTAACTCACTACATAGCCTCAGACTGGCCCTAAATGCGGAGCAGCCTTCCCGCCTTAGCCTTACTTCTGCTGGGATTAGAGGCACGAGCCACCACACCCTTACTGCTTATTTCATTACTATTTTTTCCCTTCCCCCTTCTTTCTTCTCTCCTTCCTCCCCTCCTTACTTTTATCCTTTCCCAAATGGTAAAACCTTCTTCCTGTCAGTTACACATTTTGTGTAAAGAAATATCATTGTGTCTGTTCTGTTCCAGACACCATTCTAGCCACCATTTATGAATGGATACTCTAGATTTAGTCAAGGAAGGAACACTGTGGCAGCCAGACATGACTTGGTTACTTCCTCCTTTACCCTGAACTGTGAACTATGGGCTGCGTGGCTTTGAGATGGAGGTAAAATTATAGGTAAAAAAAATTATAGTTTTGTTGTATTTTGCTATGCTGTTTATTTATTCTTGGAATGTGTGTGTATGTACATGTTATATTCACGTGTGTTCATATATGTGTGTGTGTAGGTATGCCTGCCTTTGTGTGCCCATGTGAAGGACAAAGGTCATCTTGCAGTATCTTTCTCTATTGCTCCTCACATTTTTTTGGGGGGGGGGCAGGGATGTCATTAAATAAGAAGTTCATCATTTTAGTTAGGCTATTGGACAGCAAACCCCTGGGATCTGCTGTCTCTACCCCTCCTCCCTCTAGTGTTGGGGTGATAGGGGTACACAAGCAACTCCTGGCTTTTGCTTGGGCCCCGGGATTCCAATTCAGGTCCTTATGCTTGTGCAGCAAGTGGCTACTCCACTGAGCCCCTTCCCCAGTCCTTACCAGCTTTTATTTTATTTTATTTTATTTTATTTTTTTAAAAGAAAACAAACAAGTTTTTTCATTTTACATACCAACCCCAATTCCCATTCCCTCTCCTCCTTCCATCCCCTCCACTTGCCCCCCCACCTCCCCCCCTCCCCGCTCCATTCACTCCTCAATAAGGCATATTGCTTTGGGGAAGTTAGGTTGATTCCCATTTTTTTTTTTTTTTTGAGAAACTGCCATACTGATTTCCAAAGTTTGCATTCCCACCAGCAACAGAGGAGTGTTCCTCTTACTCCACATCCTCTTCAGCATAAGCTATCATTGGTGTTTTTGATTCTTAGCCATTCTGAGTGGTAGAAGATGGTATTTCAGAGTTGTTTTGATTTGCATTTCCCTGATGGCCAAGGATGTTGATCATATCCTTAAATGTCTTTTGGCTATTTGAGATTCTTCTGTTGATAATTCTCTGTTTAGTCCTGTAACTCATTTTTTTTAATTGGGTTATTGGGTTAGTTGGAGTTTTGATGTCTAATTTCTTGAATCTTTATATATTTTTGAAATCAGTCCTCTGTCTGATTTGGGGTTGTCTTATTGACTGTGTCCTTTGCTTTACAGAAACTTCTCAGTTTTAGGAGGTCCCATTTATTTATTGTTGCTCTCAGTGTCTGTACTACTGGTGTTATATTTAGGAAGTGGTCTCCTGTG